TTTATCTCTCCTTTGAACTAGTTTGAATTTTACCCAAACTGTAAATCTGATTCATAAAGCTGCACTCAGTGTATGGTGCACATGATGGTTAATTTTCTGCCCCAATGCCAGTCTATACATTATTATGAAAATTTTTTTATGTGCAATTAAACTTTTAGAAAATTATTTTTATTTTATGTGCGTAAGTGTTTTTGTCTACATGTAAGTCTCCTACATTCATGCAGTGCCCACGGAGGGCAGAAGAGAGTGTCAGGTTCCCTGGAACTGTAGTTAGGGATGGTTGTTAGCTGCCATGTGGGTGCTGGGGACCAAATCTGGGTCTTCTACAAGAGGAGTCAGTGCTCTCACTGCTGAGCCATTTCTTTGGCTCCTATTGCAATTAGTTCCCAAACGAGTAGGCTTTGAAGAAAGGTCTTTCCCTTCTGCTCTGTGACTGATCTTCTTGCCATCAGAAGAGATGGAAGGTTGATAGTCTCTTGAGGAAAATGAATTCTGCTCCAGATTACATCGAGGTACAGAGTGCAATGTCAGCTCTTCCTGGAGTCTCTACCCGGTCCTACACATTTCAGATATAAGTCCTCACAACTGCATGACCCAATCCCCCCATCCCCCATGTCTGTCTGTCTCTCTTTCTCTCTTTCTTTTTATCTCCTCCTTTCTCTGCCTTTGGTTCTATTTCTTTTTGGAACTTTGACTAATACACAACACACACACACACACACACACACACACACACACACACTCAGTTGCTTTAATGAATGATCAAACAACTCACCTGGAGGAGTATGTGGACCATGCTGGTGTGCTGTTAAAGCATGAACATCTATATTTTTTCTAATGTGTCTGTCCAGAAGGGACTTTGTGTAGACCCATTTACAAGCACTACTTTGAATCATCCATACAAGCATCTTGCTTCTGAGCTGTTGCCTGGGATACTTGAGCCATGGGCCAGAGAAAAGGAGGCTTCTGAGCTTCTTTTTCTTATTCAGGATATGAAGTTGCCAGCCTGTGACACCCAATACGTGGGTCTTCTTATGTTCTATTTGTCCTTTGGTATCTATTTTCCTTTATTCTTCTATAGGGAAAGAGGAAGACAAGTCGTTTAGCACTCTGAAAATGGAGAAAGACCTGATTGTATGTTCTGATCACTCACCTTAGCTGTGGTGCTGTGTGGATCTGTTTCACCATATCCTGTGGAACCAGGAACCTCCTCCAGCTGAGATATTCTTCTTTCATTCTGCTTCAAGAAAATGCTTCTAGACTCAAGGGACAAGGAGATTTGGGTCACAGAGAAATTGCTCTGTGTTCAGCAACACCCCTGAGATGGGCATGGTTGTTGAGAGGGTAAGCTGGCTGGATGAATCTTGGTGAGAGTAGAGATGTGACCAATCGGAACTCTAGCCCAGACTTCTCTGAGACATGCTTTCTGCAAAGTTTGATGCACCTGTGGCCCATTGATAATTGTTTATCTCAGTTTTAGTGTCTTTTCCTATTTCTTGGAAGCACAGAGTCAGCCAACACTGGGGCTGGCCAAGGTGTTGGAAATCAGAAACCCTTAAATATTCTGAACTCCCCAGTGAAACTGATGAACTCCTCATCAATTCAGTAGCTTTTTCCATTAGTGGAGTTCATATGGGGTCAGTGGATTTTGTCCTGTCAGCATTCCTCCAAATGATGACTTTGTTTTTTCTACCGTCAAAAAGAGCCTCAGCACTTGCTTGTCGTCTTTGTACTTCAGACACCATAGACCATACACTTAGGAATAGTTATATGATCTAGTTCTATCTGTCAGGTAACTTAGTAGGGTGCACACTATGCGAGCGCCCTAGAGCAAGAGAACACTGTGCAGTAGGTTCAGGCTGCTATAAGCAGTTTTGCATTCATGCCTGATAAAACCACGAGGCCAGCTGTAGACAAAAGTGTGTGGACTTTCTATCAAGGTACACAGACATAACACAGCAAAAGTATCTCACCCAAACAGGTTTTTTTTCTATTTATTTATTATTGAATTTTTGTGAATTTCATATATATATATATGAAATTCATATATAACCCTCCCCATCTGCACACCTTATGTTAATATATTAGATTCTAATATATATTAGAAATTAATATATATTAGATTCTCTCCTTTATATTCAGACCCCTTACCACCCTCATCTAATTCCACGTACTTTGATATATATTATTCATCATCATTAAAATACAGAGCAGAGGACATGGAGTTGGGAGGGAGACGGGGTGGGTCTTCTAAAGACACTTGGAAGGAGATAGTGGTGAATGGGAATGACCAAACTACATTGTAGTAAATGGATGAGATTTTCAAAGAATAAATAATAGAATTGTTTAAAAAATTATAACGTAAATAATTTAATTGCAAAACTCAAACAAAACAAAGCAAAATAAAAGAAAGAATACAGGGCATTTTCTCTTCAGAGTGGCACATGATCCAGGAGGCAGCCCATAGCTCAAGAAGTCTTCAGACTCCCTTGAAATGGGCTGCAAAAAACGCCACCAAAGTATATGATATGAAAATCGCAAACATTAAATAAAAACATAGAATTAATTAAAAAGTTTACTTTTGTGGGCCTTGCCTTCCTGCCTTCCCTTCTGCCTCACCAGCCTCTTCTCCAGTCATACTGAACATGCGTCTTCCCTCTATTTCCAGTGTCCCTTTCCATGCTATTTCTCTGTTTATCCATGCCAGTTTAAATCCCATCATCTACACAAGACTCTTTTTTTCAGGAGCTCCCCCTCGCTCTCAGGAAATTGTACCGCTTTCCCCTCATTCCCCTGACCTTGTCCCACAGCGGGCTTTAGTGCTTACTACTGCTTTTCCTTCTAATTTCTCTCTCCACACCATTGGGCTGTGAGGCTCTCAAAGGCAAAAATAAGTTCTTTTCATTTCTGAGGTCTTAGAAACATAAATATGTATAGCTAAAATATTTGTTTTAAGCCTCGATTTTTAATAAGTGGGTCATGATCCCATACTGGGTCACATCACTGATTGAAAATATTTTGGCAACAGTGAAAAGTTTCTAAATGCTCCATGAATAATAAATGATTCAAAATGAACCACATAAGGAGTGGGAAGAGTTTATGGCATTGGTTGTGAGCACATGAAATGGGCATTTTCATTGTGGTACCATCACACCATATATCACCAATGAATGACTGAGTTCATATTTGGACTATTGTGTGCTTATGACAGTACGTACAAAGTTTTCTTTTCCTATAGAAACATAGTGAATTATGGAAAACATGACTTTTAGTATTTTTCTACCATCATTCCTCAGCATGTAAACATCAAATTAGCACATCTTTGGGCTGCATAATGTTAGAATTATTATGTTTTTCTTTCTAAAATTTTTTTTATTGTACGTGTATGAGTGTATTGCATGCATCTGTGTAAGAGCAATCATGTTGTGTATTGCCTGTGGAGGTCAGAAGAGGGTGTGGGATCTCCTGGAACTGGAGTTACAGATGGTGGGTAATGGGAATCAAAGGGTCCTCTGCTGAGCCATCTCTCCAACCCAAATACCAGAATTATTTAAAATATTTCTGTTTGACCTGCATAATGGCAAAGTGGTTGATAGGCCAGTGTTGACAGGGGAAATTTCACAGGGTTCCACCTTAAAATGAAGAGCTACAAGCAATCAATGGATGGTGAGGGAGGGAGAATCCGTTTTTTCCATTAGTTCCCTGAAAGGTTATCTAATTCCATTGTCCAGTCCTCAACACAGATGAACACAAGCAGCAATAAATGGACTTGGTGCATTTACTTACATATTTACAATGATAAAGATGGTGAAAAGAAATTGTGAGGGAATTGGGGAGGGACATGAGAGAAGTTGGAAGGGAACGGGGAGAAGAAGAAATGACACAAACACAGTACTCAAGTATGAAGTCTTCAAAAATAAAATTTATGTATTACAAAAAGTAAAAAAAATATTTGTTTGATATATTGATGAGTTTCATGAAAAATGAACTTTGTCGGGATGAGGATTAAATTTCTAACAAGTTTTGAAATGACACTAAGCATACTTCTGCAATTTCGCATAGTGCAACAGGGCTGCATTCTCAGCACTGACCAATATAAAACTGAAGTATTAGTCATCTCTGAAAAATGTTGAAGAGGTTTTACATCCTTCAGTATGAAATACACTTCTATCTCATTAGTATTCAAATGTTCTTTCTTGTTTAAATGGCAAAATTTTGTTTATCAAAATTGTTTCAAAATAAATTTCTTCATGATTTATTATCTGTGAATATTTGATGTGTATAACCATTTTATATGCATGAATACACATGGCTGTGTAAATATTTGTCAGATGAAAAGGATCATGATGGAAAAAAGTGCAAGAAGAACTATTCTAACAAATGAACAATGGTTAACACCACCACAAGTCCAGAACATCTTTACTGGCATTAAGTACATATTATAGTATTTATTATTTAGTGTATGATGACCCTAACAATAGTGTATGTTATAATTATTCACATTTAACCATAGAGGAACAAAACAATAAAAAGTTAAAAACAACCTATTCCTTTTCTCATCCTGGACTCTGTACATCCTTTAAACAATGCACTTAAACATATCAAATATTTTCATTTTTATAGATCTTGTAATATACATAAAGAAATTTGAGGTTTTCAAAGAAAAGGCAATGTAGAAATAATTTTTGTGATCCTGGTATTTAATACAGGTCAGAAAATGATATTAAGAAAATACATGTGAAATAAGATAATAAATAAACAAAAATAAAATTCAGATCAGGTAACATAGCTTAGGGGTAGAATGCTCACTCAGCATGTGAAAGGTCTTTACTATAGTCCAAGCACCACAGGCTACAACAATAGTAATGATGTTTCAACACAGGGTGACACTTTTCATCGTAGACACCTATAACAATGCTGTTATAATGACTTGGTCATCCATTATTTTGTTGTTGTTTTTGTTTCCCAACCTCTTTATAGGCTTGGATTCCTGCAAGCATCCTGTGTCATCAAATCTGGTCTTTTCCTCTCAGCACCCTGAGCATGGCCCCTCTGATGGGCTTGGACTTGACACTGTAGATGATGGGGTTCAGCACAGGAGGCACCATCAGGTACACATAGGCAACCAGAGCATGTACAATATGGGGCAGGTACCGCCCAAAACGATGGATCATGGACACTCCTATGACTGGGATGTAGAAAATCAGGACAGCTAGGATATGAGAAACACAGGTGTTGAGAGCCCGGATGCGCTCCTTGGGAGAGGCCAGTCCCATCACTGTATGAAGAATCAGGGTATAGGACAGAACAATCAGTAAGGAATCTATACCCACAGTGGAGAGAACCACATAGAGTCCATAGAGGATGTTGACAGTAATGTCGGCACAGGCCAGCTTCATGACATCAGCATGGAAGCAGAAGGAGTGTGACAGGAGGATCCTGCCAGGGCAATAGTTAAGTCGCTTCAATAGGAAGGGCCCTGGGAAGAGAGACAATGTTGCTCGAGCTACAATGGCCACCCAAATCCTGATAATGACATTATTTGTGAGGACAGCTGCATAACGCAGAGGGTTGGAGATGGCCACAAGGCGGTCAAATGACATGGCCAGGAGAACTGAGGACTCCACCACAGAGAAAGAGTGTAGGAAGAACATCTGTACCAGGCAGGCATTGAAACCAATGAAACGATAGTTGAACCAGAGCACAGCCAGGGTGGTGGGCAGTGTGGACAAGGTGAGACCCACATCACTGAGGGCCAGCATGGATAGGAAGTAGTACATGGGCTGGTGTAGGCTAGGGGTTCTCCTTACAGCCAGGAGGATGAGGCAGTTTCCCGTGAGTGCCACTGTGTACATGGACGAGAAGGGAATGGAGATCCAGCCGTGGACAGCCTCATACCCTGGGATGCCAATCATGAGGAAAGTGTATGGCTGGAAGAAGGTGATGTTGCTATAACTCTGAGAAGGCAGCATCCTCAGAGACAGCCAAAGGCTCCAGGAAGTTTTGATCTATCCCTTCAATATTGGTAGAAATCTGAGAAAATAGATGAAGTTAATGCAAAATTTACTGATGTATTATTTAGTAATGTGGGTTAAAGCACAAATGTGATGGATGCAAAGCAGATTCTGAAATATAGTTCTATCAAAAATATATTTCTAAAGAAAGAAATAGGACCGGCGAGATGACTCAGTGGATAAAAACGCTGCCTGTCAAATATGATGATCTGAGTTAGAGCCTCAGATTCCACACAGTGGAGGTAGAGAACTGACTCCCTGTGGTTATCCTCAGACTTCCACCTGCGTGCTGTGGTATACACACACAGACACAAGTCAGACACAAACACACTCAGAAATACATTACATAAATGTAAATGAAAATTATGAATTAAACCCAATGAATGAACACATATTTAGGGTGTGAGAACAGTGCTCTCTTCACAATCGAACAAAGCAACACTTTTTGAACTTTTTGTTTTGAGAATCTCATACACGATACTATGAACTATAATCATATCTAACCCCATTTCCTCTTTCAAGTCTCCCCCATCCCCACAACACACTTTCTCCAAACTTCATGTCTTTTTTTTTTTTAGACTACCAAGTACGGTTAGTGGTGCACATATGTGCCTGGGTGTGAGGTCATCCACCGGAGCATGGGGAACCTACAATTGCTGTATTCTAAAAAGAAAAAGAGTGAATCTTCTTCCCCTAACAACTACACAGTGCCAACGTCTTCTCACAAAGGGGTGGCTCCTGGAGACCTTCTGACACCTCTGTAACCTGAATTTTGACCATTAAAACAGCACATTTTTAAAAAGCAAGTGAGGAGTGAGGTAATTCTGAAGAGCCCAGTAAATAATCCTCTATTTTAAATGTGAATCAGTGGCATTAGGGAAATAAACTGCAAGTTTACTGATGAAGACTCAGAGGTAGAAAGTATGGCCTTGTTATTTTTGTCTTCTTGGATTCAGTTTGTAAATTCCAAAGCAAACAATAAATCAGCAAGTAGGTTAGCAAGCAAAAGTATCAGTCTACAAGTAAGTCAGTAAGAAAAGAAACGTATAATACCATGTGTGGGAAACAGTCAACATGTCTCTTAACAGAGGTTAGGCAGGCCACCAGAAAGAGAAGTCTAACTTAAACTGGTCTTAACAGTGACCACTGGGGGCTACAGTTATTTCAAGTCTATGTGATATAATCAGGTCACTCTGAAGGTAAGAATGAACATTTATTTGGAGGCAGGCAGGAGAATAGCGATGTTGACAAGCACTGTGCCTACAGATGGGACCGTACGTTTAGTTTGTTAAACATTTCCCAGTGCTGCTGCCTGTTTAGCCACTCTTCCTTCTTTCTTTTTAAATGTGTTTTCACTGGGTTTTTACACATTTCATAAAACCATTTTAATCATCTTTATACACTCTCCCCCATCTGCACCACCATAGCTACCCACCAGATTTCATGCATTCTGTCATTTATGTTAAAGCCTATCGAGTCAAGTTAGCATATCGGGGTGTCCCTCAGTGCATCTACTGGGGTCTAGTCACCTTACCTAAAGTCACTCCCTTAAAGAAGATAACTCCCCCTCACCCTGCAGTAATTAGCTGCCCAATAGTTCTTCAGATAGGATTAGGACCTGCTGCCCATTTCCCCAGTTCTATGCTGGGTTTTTGTCTGATTTCTTAGTGCATGCTAAATACCGATCCTTATATTTACAGACAAGTCTACTGTACAGCACTCATCAAAGAAGCTTCTTTTTGCAACAGATGGAGGCTATTATGCAGTTCCATAACTGGTCACACACAGAGAATATATGTCTGAGAGATATCCAGCCCTAAGTGACAGACCTACAGTGGAAACTCTGAGGCTCATGGAACATAACATAATGGGGGTAGAGAGAACACTAATACGTCTCTCAACTTTCCCCTTTTTTCTTATTGACTGTTTTTGAGCAGATTCCAAGATCTGATGGGACATACACTAATAATGAGTGACCAAAAAACAAGTTTAAACACAGAATTTGTATGTACCTTTTTTTTTTAAGTTAAAAAAGACAAAACAGATTAAGCATACATAAAGGTGTTCTTTGAGGTAAGGAATTATTACCAAGAAAAGAAAGAAAATCCTATATAAAATTTTTCTAAATAGTTTAAAAAATGAATGTGTCAAAAATCTGCCTTAGTGGAGGGCAAGATAAATTTGATAATAAAGGAAGTGAAAAACCAAAATGTTAGATAGAACCAAGAAATGGACGATGTAAACAACAAAGGCCAATGCAGAACTGAAAATTTTCTATTATGTGAAGGCACATTGCTTCAAACACTTGGAAATATGAGAATATGATAAGAGTAAACAAAGTTAAATTGAAATAATGGAATAGAGACTGTCGGACGTGTTAAAGAATAGAATTATGAGGGGCTAAGTAAAAATGAAAATCTGAAAAATAATCTAATGTATAATAAAATATTTTCAGAAAAACTAAAATAAACCATATTAAAGTACTTATAATGTACTAGGAACTAGATACTAATGGTAAGGCAGATATAGATTATATTTAGGTGTTATATTTTATAATGAAAAATGAGCAAAATTTTAACTTTTAATTTTAAATTTTTGGACAATTTCATACAATTTACATAATCATCCCTCCCTCTCTCCCTTCAGTTCCTCCCATAGCTTCACCATGCCTGTCAGCTTTATGACCTCTTCCTTAACTAATATTGTTACATATATAGGTATATATATATATATGTATATATATATGTATGTATATATATATATGTATGTATATTGTGTCTTGAGTCTGTTTAGAGGTGCTCTCATGTGTGTCTGTTTAGGGATGACTACTTGGGATTGTATCCAATCCTGTCAGGGAGCCCTTTCCTGGAGTAAGTCGATTCTCCCTCCCCAAGCAGACATTGATTGCCTGTAGCTCTTCATCTAGATGTGGGATCCTGTGAAACTTCCCACATCCACATTGGTATGTCAACTGGTGTTGTCATTAGGTTTTGTTTAGGTAATCAGAGTGGAGGATACTTTAACCTATGAGTATCCATGAGCTGATGATCATGGCACCTGGGCAGGTGCCCATGGTGTCCCTCCTCAATGAGTACTCCTGAATTTTTCATAATAGACATTAGTAAAATAATGTTCTGCTGCTAAAGGTAGCAAATATTAAGTGTGGAGATTTATGTAAAGCATTTATCTCACTTTGTCCAAACTCTCATTTAAGTGACTGTAAAAAATGAAAGTCACCAATTCATAATGGCAAAAGAATAGGGCAGGATAAAAGGAACATGAAAAATTATTGTTTATAGGTAAAATTAGGAAGAGTAGCAAGAAACTGGCAGAGATAACTTAATTTTTATAAAGGTTATACCCCAGCTTCACTTTAAGAGGACTAAGAAATTACAGTTGATAAAATTAAAAGTGAGGTCTGAAGGGGTACCCCAGTTACCTCACCCTGCATCCCTGTTCAGCATGGAAGAAGCCAGAGCGGTCTGTGTCCTGATTCTCTGTTGGCAATTTGGGTAACCTCTTCAGAGGATGGTGTGATAAGAATAGGATGTAGGAATTGGCTAGG